TTATTCTCCTGACCTTCAATGAGGCTGCCTATGCTTGAGAGCTATGAGCCCTCTGCACAAGAAGAACTTACCAACCGTCCACAAAAGAATGGTGAATGCAAAATGGCCAAAGAGAGGCCTACCCTTTTGAAAGTTTACGCCACTGCCTTTGCTGCAAGAAATAAACAGGCTAGTTACGCTTTCTGGTCTCAACACTGAAGTCCTGAAGTCCACAGGAAAATCCAACCTCTTAGCTTTGCAAGAAATGTGCTAAATGTAAAGCTCAAAAAATCAGACCAATGCATAAGTTATATTGGGCAATGAAGACATTGATTGAGGACTGTACAACTGCAGAGTAATAGCAGAATTATTAATTACATTTGGTATTCAAATAAAGAAAATATTGGAACTGCACCTGTGTTCTGATCCAGAACTTTTAGGTAAATCTCTTAAGCACTTGCCCCTGTTACATAAGTTAATGGGAAAAAGAACCTCAAAATAGAGACTACGTAAGGAAAACAAACAAATGAAAGCATGTCTCTGAGCTGACGTCGGTATTGATCCTTCATAATGAAATTGCTTTGTGGTGAACAGCTTTGGAATGTTTTCAAAATTTGCAAATGGAAGTAATAACCTGATGGACTATTTTTGGAAGGTTAGATTACATTATACAACTATAATGGTTAATTTTGATTTACTTTGCTATATAAATAGCTGGAGTAATTATTAAAAAAAACATTGTCAATCTATTTTGTGCTTTTGATACTGGAAGAAGGTGCAAAAGTGCAATACACGCAAAGATCTAATTGGATTTGTTTGTGATGCCACTAATGGCACCAAGGTACAGTTCAGTGTGACACTTTGAGAATAGTCACTTGGATGATGCACTGAAGGAAGTTGACATCAGTGATGCTGAAAAAGAGTACCTCTGGAACACAATATCTAACAAACTGGAAGGCCAGGGATGAATTAGGACCAAGGGCATGGTAATTAACTTCAGGGAAGAAAACCCACCAGCCAGTGTGCCATTCCTCATTCAGATCTAGCTATCCCCGTTAAGAGGTGCCTGCACTGAAGAAAGCAAGATTGGAAAATAATTCCTGTTGTCACATTTCCTCACCACATAAATTCACTTCAGAAAAGTTACTTGGCTGAGATATCTAAGAACTGGTGGGATCCTTTCCCAACATTGGATACCTGAGGGAAGAAGAATTGGTCTTTTGGACTTCTGTAATAGGTCCAAAATCTAGCAGCCTGTGCTCTTAAACTAACTTGTCATCACTCTTTGAGGACAATAGACCAGGCTGGATTTGACTCCAGAAGCTATCCAGCAAATCATTGGTACTGTGTTAACACTCAAAAACGAAGCAAAGCACAGCTAAATACAAACACAAGTGTCACACTGGATTCAAAACATTTACTGTTTCACTCTCTACAGATACTGCCAAAGCTGCTGAGTTTCTCCAGCACTTTATTTGTTTTATACACCAAACGTGGCAGTGAATTTAGGTTAAAACAGGACATGTTCCTGCTTCATGCTTATAAAGCGGAATAATGATATTTTGCATTCTCCTCAGATTACTCACCAATGTCAATTATTCTTGTTTTATAACAAATGCAGTCAGTTTGGCATTTTGTTTTTAAAAAAACACGGGCTCAACAGAAAGAACTACCCAAACACATATCACCGCGGCCACTTCGTATTTATTCAGTGCTGCTCAGTAACAAAAAGACACTGAAATGTATAAGGTAGTATGAGTATTGACCTCCAGTACTGTGTAAAGTAGTATATGAGTACTGACCTCCAGTACGTGACCAAATAACCAGTGGGCAGGCGGTCCCGGGAACAGTTTCATTGCTGTCATCATCTCCCATCTTCTACGGAACAGTTTCACTGTTTTGAGCAGGAAAGACACTAAACAAAACACAGCGATCAAATGGAATAGCCGACAGAGTTCCACAGGGAAGCACAGCGACTTCAGCGCTTCTACAATGGCCATTTGGTACAGGCTGAAGAGAGAATCCACCACAGAGACTTAAGCTCTCCAGATCTTATCGTGCGACTGTCATTATACCGTATTTGACTTTGTCTTGTAGCCGCGCCCCAACGTCAATAAATCCGACACTCCGCTGTACGTGTTCTCTCTTAAAGCTGGATTCCTGCTTTGCGATTTCCAACTAAACTCAGCCCACCCACCTCCCATCTGATTATTGTTTTAGTATCGCTGCGCTTTTGCAACACCAAGAGTCAAAATTAATTGTAGCCTACAAGGTGAAAAGAGGTTAGAAAGTGAATACTTGCACCAGAGCACAGAACTATTTTAGTCCCCAGTCTAAAGTCATTGGGCTCACAATACTGAGCTAAATACCAGGCCAGGATCTCAGAGTTGGTCGTGGCCGGACAGAGGATATTTTGGAAGAATAGATTCTGTACTTTCCTCGCGTCCCCCAACTTCACTGTTTTCATAAACATGAAACGAGTAATCCAGCCAATGGGGACACACTGTAATAAAGATAGCTATCTAACTGTCAGTTTTGACTTATCGTAGTCACATGTACCTAAGTACAGTGAAAAGCTTAGTTTTGGGAGCAGTACAGGCAGATTATAGCAAACATACAGATCATTGGGTGCTCAGATAGAGCGAGGCATACAAGGTTACAGCTACACAGGAGGTTCACAAAACAAGATCAACATCAGTAAGATCAACACTATGTGAAGCTAGAGATATCCAATGAGCAGTCTAATAACAGCAGGGAAGAAGCAGTTCTTGAACCTGTTGGTGTCTGTGTTCAAGCTTCTGTATCTTCTGCCCGATGGAAGAGATTGGAAGAGAGAATTACCGGGTGGGATGGGTCTTTGATGCTGTTGGCAACCTTTCTGCAGCAACAAGAAGTGTAAATAGAGGCCATGGATGGCAGGTTGGCTTCTGTGATGGTCTGGGCTGTGCACACCACCTTCTGTAGTTTCTTACCATTCTGGGCATGTACCAAGCCATTATGCACCCAGATGGAATGCTTTCAGTAGTAAAAAAAATCATAGATCATAGAAGCCCTACAGTGTAGAAACAGGCCATTCAGCCCAACAAGTCCAAATCACCTCTTTGAAGAGCATCCCCCCAGACCCATTTCCCCTACCCCTGATTTTCCCATGTCTAACCCACCTAACCTAAACATCCCTGGGCACTATGGGCAATTTAGCACAGGCAATCCACCTAGCCTGCACATCTTTGGACTGTGGGAGGAAACTGGAGCACCTGGAGGAAGCCCACACAGACACAGGGAGAATGTGCAGACAGCATAAAGACAGTTGTCTGAGGTTGGAATTGAACCCAGGTCCCTGGCACTGTGAGGCAGCAATGCTAACCACTGTGCCACCCCAGGAAATAGCGACGAGAGTGGGACTTGACCCCATGCATGCAGAGCACAATGGATTGGCAAGCCATTGCCTTAACCTCTTGGCCAACTCATCATAGTGCATCTGTAAAAGTTGGTGAGGGTCCTTATGGACTTGCGAAATTTCCTGAGCTGTCAGAGGAAGAAGCGGTGTTGTTGTGCCTTCTTGACCATCACATCTACATGGGAAGTCCAGGAGTTGTTGGTTATCGTCACTTCTAGGAACTTGACACTCTTAACCCTCTCAACTTCAGCTCTGTTGATATAGATAGGGCCATGTCCTCCTCCTTGCTTCCTGAAGTCAATGATCTGCTTTTTGATTTGTCGACATTGAGAGAGAGGTTGTTATCATTTACAGATGGAGGAGAAATTTAATAGTAGAGTACAAGATTATGACAGATGTGTATAAGGTAGACAACAAAAAAGCTGATTCTAGCTGATTGTACAAGGACCAGGGACCACACCTGTGTTTCAATATTTACTAGTAATTATTGTTTCATTTTAACCATCCAATCCTCAATTTACGTTGATCACTTGACAGTGTCAATTTGATAGCTGCTCCAAAGTGGTGAATTTGGAGAAGCTCTGTGAACTATTAGAAGATAAATTAGTTTTTCTACAAGCTTATAAAGTAAAAGGTAAAGTCACCATAGTCCCAAATGGGCTGCTGTCTAATTAGACAGAGATGACTGGTGGTGGTTTAAACTAAAGGTCATCACAGCTCAGGCAAGGGGAGGGATTGAGAAGGAGTGTCCTTCATGTAACCTCAGCTGGTGCAGGAATTGAACCCATGCTGTTGACCTCACTCTGCATCACAAATTAGCTGTCCAGCCAACTTAGCTTAAAAATTAGCTACTGGATAAATTTAGTATCTACAAACAGAAAATAAAGTTAATGTTTTGAGTCCAGTTAGCTTAATTCACAACTAATGGTAGCCAGAAAAGGGTGGTATTTATGCTGATAATGGGAGAGGGGTGCGACTGGGGAGAGGAGTGAGCAGATAGGTGGAACGGAACCCAGAGTGAAAGCAAGGTGGAGGTGGAAAGCAAGTTGTAAAGAGGGGAAAAGAAAAGAGTCTACACAAGGTTATGAATAGCATAAGTGAGCAACCAAAAAAAAAAGTGTATAATGTGGATAAATATGAATTTGTCCACTTCAGCTGAAAGTATAGAAAAGCAGAACATGATTGAAATAGAGAGACTGCAGAATGTTGCAGTACAAAGGGTTCTGGCTATTCTCAGACATGAATAACTAAATATTTACAATTCAGGTGCAGTAAGTAAATATTTATTTACTTTTGAAATTATTAATTCAGCTTTCTGAAATTTGCTTACTGTCTGCCAAGTGGGAGAATTGAACTCCATCATCCTCCCCCTCCCAATCCATAAAGTTTGGATGAGCCTGATTTAGTAAAATTAAGATGATCCTAACGTAAGATGTAAGATTCTGAGATGACTTGACTGATTGGATGCTGAAAGAATGGATCCCCTCAAAATGGATCTGGAGCGACAGTTGAAATATATGGGATTTGCCATATAAGGAGTTGATGAGACGTTTCTTCTCCAAGGGTTAGTGGTCTTTGGAATTCTCCTCCCCAGTGAGCAGTGGAGACTGAAATTGAACATTTTCAAGGCCGTGTTTAATTTTTTGATTTATAAGGGAATTGAAAGTTATGGGAGGCATACAGGAAACATGGAGTGAGGCCATAATTAGATCAGCATGATCTCATTGAATGGAGGAGCAGATTCAAAGGTTAAATGGCCTACCCCTATAGTTATTTCTGATGGTCTTATTTTATAGGCTTTCAGCCATAATTTTATTTTTTTAAGTGCCATTCATGGATCAAAGCTTATGAGTTAGCACGTAAGTTTGTATGGCATTTAATTGGTGATGCTTAACTCTTTCTTGTTCAATTATAGTATTAATATTAAGAGCACAAATGTGTAAAATGTATGCTGCATGTATATTAATAAAGAGAAGTTGATGTGCAAACATTCAGAATGCATATATAAGACTGAAAATCCACATCCTGGAACTTGGACTTTATTTGTTTAGAAGCAAAGCTGCATTGTTGATCTAATAACCAAGGCAATCACCATCACACTTCGTGTGGTTCACACCTGGGCAAAAGTGGTGCTGCTAATTTGACGTTGAGACTGCTGATATGGTGGTGATACTGTGTTATTGAGACATCCGTGGGTTGGCACAGTCAATCTGCTTGCTTATGGAATTTACTGGAACAGCATATGAGAGAAGTTCTATTCATGTGGAGCTCCTCCAAATTACAACAAAACTTGCTGGTTTGATGTGAAGCCAAAGCTTGGACTGCATTTCCCAAACCTCCCATACTTAATTGATGGGAATGTTAAAATTACCCACAGCAATGCTATAACGCATTACATTGCAAGGAAACAGAAGATCAAGGGTGAGACCGAAGATGAAAAGATCCATGTTGACATGTTGGAGAATCAGGCGATGGATTTCTACATGGGCTTTGTCCCATGTATAGTTCCTGGATCTTAAACATCTGAAGGCTGATTATCTGAAAGGCCTTTCAAAACACATTGAAGCAGTTATCTGACTTTCTGGGGGAAAACAGTGTTGGTTTGCAGGTGACAGGGTGACTTTTGTGGATTTTGTAACATATGCACTCTTTGATAAACATCATATTTTTGAACCCTAGTGTTTGGATGAGTTTCAAAGCCTGAAGGATTTTCTTGCTCATTTTGAGGCTTTAGGGAAGACTGCAACATTATATGAAATCTGACCGCTTCACAAAAGGGCTATTCAATAATAAGCTAGGAAAATGGAGCAACAAGAAATAATGAAGAAATTTGACATTGCTCAGGCTGTTGAAACACATCTGTGCAAAGGTTTTTTTTTGAAAACTTTCATAAATTTTCAAATGAATTACATAAAAACAAGCTCTGGGGTTCAAATGTTTCCATCCTCTTTGTTTTGTGCCATCTGATGGCAGTTTATGGAATTACATCAAAGATTTCTAAATTCTCTATCACCACAGCAACGTAATAGTCAATAAACAATAAACGAATACATTCAGCAGCAAAGTGAATCAAACATTAGCAAAGGATCAGACTAACTAATGTAATTAGATACTCATCTTACTATGTATATCAGATCAGATGATTCTGACAGGCATGCTGAGTTTCTCCAGCAATTTCTGTCTTTGTTTCAAATCATAGGCTGGTTTCTATGACCAGTGTGGAAGGAATCCATTCAGCCCATCAAGCCCACGCAAGCTTTTTAATAGAAATAACCCGGTAAATGCTTTACTTTGGAATGTTTAACTATCAATCCAGAATTTCATTGCAATGCAAGCAACAACAGCAATTTAGAAAAGGGGTTGCTGAAGGCATGAGTTTGTATTCTGCAGCATATGTCACCGAAATAACATTCTGAGATTTGATAGTTGCACAGATCAGCTTTTGGCATTTTTGGAACTTAGCGTTCTTTCGTTCAGTTAAGTGAAACCTATCCGCTGTTCAACCTCACACAAATACAATGATAGGAATTGTTAAAGTTAAGAAATGCATTCACACAGGAATAAAGGAACTGCAACCAGTCAGATATATGCAGGAAAGATCCTTTTAGAGAATAAATAGTGCTTTTAAGTTGCAGATAACAGATTATTTGGTACAAATTACTTTGGGGCAAATACTTAATAAATATACACACAACCATTATTTTGAGAAATCAACAATTAATTTTAATTTTGAAAATTACTTTTAGGAATTGGCATTAATTGTAAATGAATCAATTGTTGGAGAA